ACTTTCTTCCATCTAAAGTAACTCATACGTTCTTGTGCATTCTAGTCTACAGATAGTGTCAGTACAATCTAGAACACATAATAAAAGTTAATGGATTGACAACTTTCATATTATAGAATATGAAATATGTAAAACTCTCCCTCAACATGAGTTTGGGTTATATAAATTGAATCCAGGTGAAATTGTTCATAATAGTTTTAGATTCTATAATATGAAATTATCTTTTAGATCATCATGGGATCAATGCTCTTTATAGTAACATCTTTAAATTACACAGCATAAACAAATAACATAAAATGACATGAAAAACCATAAATATATGATATAATAAATAATGTATCATGTCAAGTATTATATGTAATCATTCATACACAAAATATAACTTAATAAATAACAAAATAATCCTTAAAAAATACATCTTATTGGATCACATCTGAACTATTGGCCCTCCACTTCACTTACTAGGCAGATTTAATCTTTCGTCAATGGTACTCATAGCTATTAGGTGTCTCTTAAACTATTTTTAGGAAGATGAATTGTTTATGATTCTCTAGTTTTTCTATTGACGTAAGCCCTAGAAGTCAATATTTTTATTAGAACTTTATACTTGTATCAAAGTATATATTAATAGTAATAAGGCATTTCTTTATTATGTTTTTTTCCAAAGTAATAAAGTCCCTAGAATAGCTAGTTTGTTTGATGAATTATCATATGTGACTTAATCATGAGATCCTATTAAACATAAGAACAATATTCTTAAAGTATTTATAGTCAAACTTTATTGCAAAGTTGAATAACATTAGAGCATTGAGATTATTATGTAGATAGACTAATGAGAACATCACGCATATCATTGATAAAGAGTTATAAAGTCTTCACATAGGTATACATATTAAGAATAACATTTATATTGGACTGGTCCATCATGAGAATACTATATAAAATGTTATGCAAGTGTCATAAGTTATTCTCAAAGTGATAGTGGTGTATACTATCATTTGATATGAAATCACTATGGACCCTAGATGTGGAGTCGAGTACTTTATTACCGTTTAAATGTTATCCTTAATAGGATCACTATAACGAGTTCATCGGTACTCCACAAATCATGCTAAAGGACAAGAATGACATAGATGTAATTTTTTCATCTTGTGTAACAGGATAAATGTCTTAAGACCCAATATTGAACTGAACAAAGATGACACGATTTATGTCTTATGTTCATATAGACATGAGGGAAATAGGATAATTATACACATAAACATTATCACAGAAAGTTTTCGTCAAATTGCGTGACATTCTCATGACTTAGGTAGCAGTAATGTGTTGCTAGATATCGCTCATTGTTTACTAAATGCGTGACACCCTAAATAATATGTGTCTAGAATCATACCATCTGAAATGTTAAGCTGGTATTGAGTACAAACAAAAGCGTCTAAATGACATCCAATACATATAATAAACAAGTACAAATTAATACAGATAAATGATAAAGACATCTAATATAAGAAAAATACTACATATAGATAACAACACAGCAGAAACATAATCATCTTCTGGTCTTCTAAGTCTTCATAGTATCTTTCCTTTTTTCCTCCTTCTGAGATGAGCTACTTGAAATAATTAACATGAGATGAGATACAACTTATCCCAGTGGAGTTCCATATATTAGGAATCCACTCGACTTTCAAGGTCAAGCAACTGATGTCTCAACTGACATAACTCACTTGTGTCAGATAAGGTAAAGTAGGGAAGCAAAAGCTTATGCGCTTCACACACATAACACACAACAGTGATCTAGGAACTCCCAGCTTTATTGATTCATGAGAAAAACTAGGAGACGGGTAGTAATCACAAACATTTCCTTACCTGCTAGCTCCTTAATCTGAGATTAGTCTTCCGGGATCGGGATGTGATCTACTAGACCTTTCCATACAGTTTGGTTTTATAAAGCTACCTACCTATGTACTGGATTACCCTCATAATTATCAATCCACATTACAATCCACTAGGAATCCTAACATCCACTCACTCTAATGAACTAATCCTTACGAGACTCAATAATCCTTGGGTACTAGGGAGCAAGCCCAGTAACATGAAAGAATGTTATAACGATTACCGCCCTTATGTCCAATGTATACCATCAGTAGTAATTGAGGCTTATGGTTACATTTATGGGCAATACATGTAATCAGTCATTCTTTATGCCCATTATACATTAATTAATTTAGCATCAACCATTTTATCAATTCTATGATATTTTCCCATTAATCCATTTATTCACAAAACACATAACTCAATTAATTAGCGTATTAATAAAACTACTCATTTCTCATTCTATAGACTCTTCCAATAAAAACTTAGTCACATCACTAATTACGACCCCCACTCACTTAGATTTAGCACACGGCTTACCATTATTAATTACAACCTTCATTGAAATTTAGTGTGTATAACTAAGTATGATCCATTCGGTTGGATCTAGTATCTAAATCTTTGGTGTGTATAATTTTTTTTAAATTCAAAAAATTGATTACTTGAAATTGATAAAATGTGGAAATTAGGTAATATAATGAATATAGAATATATTTTATATAATAATCACTAAGCTAAAATTTTAAATTACTTGAAATTATTATTAATCAGCTTGTGACTGCCTACAATCATCTCTAATTAAATACTCAAAAAAGTTGTTATTTTAATTTTTTTATTGTAAATTTATAAATATCAACTACGTAATTATATTAGAGAACTTTAGCACTTATAAATATAAATGTTGTCCTACGTAATTAAACTTTAAATGAATCCGTTATACACATTTAACTCAGTTAATATATATTAATTCATCTATCATGCTCAACACCACTCCACTCAAGTGTTACATGTAAAGTGACTTTGTATATTATTTTAATCATCTCTAACAAGATTGTTTTTTTCTCTAGATTATAAAAATAAATATCAATATTTATACTAATTAATTATGTTGTTTTTAAAAGTTTTTTTTTCTTAAAATTGGTTTTAATTAATTATTAAAATTACTTTTATATCTTTTTGTAAAATAAATACATCAATATGTTTTGGAAGTAAAATAAGTATTTAATTTTCAGTCTAATTTGATGGCATGTAACAATGTTGATATTATATTGAATGGATATTTCAGGCTTTTCTTCATAAAGAAGAAAAATTTGTTCTTCCTTTATACTCAAAGAATTTAAGAGAATACGCTTCACAGGAAGAACATACATGGAAGACTTTTATGCCTTATGTACGTGACAGTTTGGTTACTATTCCTCCAACATATCATGGGGCTGTACTACTATTATCTAGTAGTTTCCTAGGCTATGAAGTAAAATACACAACTTCTCCATTTGATTTAGGATTCAAATATTCAACTAATGCTCCACATTCACTAGTGTTGAGCTTTGGGGAAGCATTCGAAGCATTCTTTCCAGAAATGACACACATCGCCAAGTTCATGTTGTGTTATTTTCTGACTTTGGTGTTGGTTTTTCCACTACAACCTGGTGTGCAGATTTTGTGTATGTTGCTATTAATATCTGCGCCGCTGTTCTATTTTCCCGAGCTGATTCAAAAGTCTTCAGGCATTGGTGTTGCTTGTGGATCATTTAAGTTGCCTTTGATTTGGTTTGCAACGTTAGGGGCTATTGGGATTACTCTTGTTTGTGGGATAATGACAATGATTATGGTTTACTTGAGTTGGAGATTGGTATCTAAAGGGAAATCAAGAGTTAGAGTAGTTGATGCAAGTTTTGATGGTTTGTCTGAAGTTTTAGAAGGATGAAACTGATCATGTCATATGATAGTGATTAAAACACACTGGTGATGTACTTACTATACATTTTTTCTCTCCTTTCTTTGTTTTGATAGTTTTTTACGACCACTTTTGAAGTTTGAAATGAGTATATAGATGGTTTGTTGATTTGCATTATTATGAGTTTTCTTAGGAGTTTTTTTTCACTAACAAACGACATTAAAAAATTATCAAACTTGTACTCAATTTAGGATATATGTTTGGATTAGTGGCAAAATGAAATGGAGTAGAATGATAAATAATGAAATTGTCTGAATTTGCAAATAATGAATACAACATAATAAAACATAATGGAATCCATTCAATCCTTCAATTTTCTTTCATCTGATTTTGAATGTATGCAATAGAATGAACTGAACTAATTTATTTTGTTTCGTCAAATTATAAAATAAATAACACAAACAATAAATGGAATCTATGTTCCATTCAGATCCAAACATAAGTGAAAGATGTAAAAACATTAACATAATTCAAATTCATTCTTCAACCAAAGTGAGATAACCATGTACAAAATTGACAGAACAAAATGTGTTATGTGAATATTTAAACCACACTTCCAAAAACACGTGCCATCATTCTTGAATCCTATCCTAAAAAAAACAAAAAGGACTTGAGCACCTAAAAACAACAGGAAGCATCAACAGATCAACAAGACTTCATTTTCAATGTCCTTTCTTGTTTCAAAAGTGAACTATGGTTTCTACAATGAAATGTTTCATTAGATTCCATTGAAATACACATGACAATGGTCAGCATCAAAGCACAACAACAGAACATAGACATACTAAATTAAGCACATACCATTCGAGTTCAACATGAAACTATGTTTCCCCGAGTCAAACCATCATCATCATATAATAATTTAAATACAAGCAGCAACACCAGAAAAAGAAAATCAAACAATAAAAGAAACTCCTAACTCACCCAACAATACATTCATCTAAAGCTATAATCAAGTTCCAAAATTTACCATAAACAAAATAAAAGAGTGGCCGAAATATGAATATAGCAAAGTAACATCATTATATCAACCTACCTAAAACAAAATCTAAACTAGTGAACAAAAAACAAGCATGATTTCATCTCATGGGGCTGCAAATGCAAACACACAATTGAAAATCGAAAAAGCTCCAACCTTTATTTTCATCATTATCACTTATAGATTTATCTACGATTCTGAAGGTGAAGCTATGTTGTTGATGTTGTTAATGTTACTATTACCCGTATGTAGTTTCCTCTTCTTGTTCTTCTCCGCTACCGCTTTGGCGAATGCTTCAACAATCCTCTGCTGAGACTCAAGAATCATTTCGGTTCGCTTCATCTCCATCTCCATTCGCATAGTTTCGATCTCTCTAGCCATCTCCATCTTCATCTGCTCCATCCTCACAAATCCATCTCTCAAAACCTTAATAGCATTCACCATTTCACCAATAGGGTCTCTTTCTCTCTCTACCTCTCTCTCCCTCTCTCTCTTCCCCAACCCAATCTTCTCCTTCACAAGCCTCGTTCCGCCGTTGATATAACCGCGAGAACAAGATTCCGTCTGGTTATTGTTCATGTTCATTTTCTGATGGTGGCCACCGTAGAATTTAGATCCAGGTTGTGCAACACTCACACCGGTTGGGATCCGGATCCGGAATCCAACGCCGGAAGATCCATTCCGGTAGAATTTATCAAGATTTCTGGTGTTTCCAACTCTACCAGCGGGGATTAGTTCCTCGTATAGATCGTCATCGTCAAGATCATCGTTATCAACTAGGGTTTCACGGTGGTTGAGATTGTTATGATTTTCAAGATTTGGTGGTGGAGAGGGTGGAGAAGGCGGAGAAGGACCTTTTTCCATGGAATCCATGGATTTGAAATGAACCCACGAGGAAGAAGAACGAGATCGCGGAATCGGGAGAGATCTGAGTCTTTGAATCTCAGATCGGTAACGTTTCCTGAGTTTCTCCATTTTGTGACGGCACTGAACGGCGGTTTTGTTCGTCGGTGAAGCATTAGGGCAACGAGCGGTGACAGCGTCGGCAACTTCCTGCCAATGGATGGCTTTGAGATTTGTTCGGCCAAGAGAGTACCATTTGTCACGGTAAGCATCGATTAGGGCAGAGGTTTCCTCCGGTGTCCAGCAGGGTGGAGGAAGACGACGGGAGGTGGTCGGTGGTGGTGGGGCAGGTAAGGAAAGTGGGAGGGGAACGGCGGAAGGAGGGTTTGAATCGGTGGGTGAAGAGGCCATGGTTGTTGTGGCGTAAGATAGCAAAGGGGGAAGAATAGAAGAGATTGGAAATTTAGGGTTGTGGTGATGGTGGAGGAGGAGGAGGGAGAGAGGGGAATATATCGGGAGAAAAAAAGGGTGACATGGTGGTTGGGTGGGTTGGGTTAAAGAGGGTGGTGCGGCAGGGAAAGTGACGTGGGTGGATGAGGAGGCCACCACCGCTTAGGTGAGAGGGAAGTAAGGGCTAACGTGCGCGGAGGGGTGGGGAGGTCCACACCTCTGACTTTGGTTGTTGTTATTATCATCATGATCATGATCATCAAAATTAGATACATGTTTTGTGGGGTGTGGGACTTTGGCTATAGTCTAGAGTAATGTGTTAGAATTAAAAAAAAGTTATCCACCGTGCTAAGTGGGTGACATGTGATTTCTTGGTTTGGTTGTGGGTATGGTATGGTGGGTGAATTTTGGTTTGTCATTTTTTAGTAACTACTTTTTTTTATAATTGGAAGGTGGTGTGGTGGCAATAGAGGTTTGGTTTGGTTTCTTTCATTGATAAATAAATGGTGATGTGGTGTTTTCCTTTTTCATATTTGTTATTAAAAAAAGTGTTGGTATTAGTGAAGGGGAACGGAATTACTTTGTATTTCATTGGTGTAAAAAATAAGAGATTTTAAGTCAATAAAATATGAGAAATAATATTTTGACATTTTAATACTATATTTGTATGTTATTATTCTGGACCATTTTTTTTTTACTTTCATTCATTTCTTTCTATTATAGTTTTTTTTAATTTCGTTCTCTGAGGATTTTATAATAAAATTACTTTTAGTGAAATTAAAAAAAAAATAGAGAAGAAAGAAAAAAAGAAGATCTAATGTATATTATTTCTAAGACCAACTCTAGCGTTGTTTCTCATTCTAGTTTACCAATATGGCATATTTTATTTATATTAAATATTACTGAAAGACATTTTAAGTTGACGTTGCATAATGAAGCAACGGTTCAATGTCTTTTCAACCGTATGACACACTTTCAACGGCTACTTATTTGCATTAATAATGTATTAAAATATAATAAATATAATAAAAACTAGCCGTTTCAACGGCTACTTATTTTTTAAAACTTATTTTTTATTATAAATATAATTTTGGTTTTCAAAAATTTACCAACACAAATTTCTCTAACTTTTATTTTCTCTTCAATTTGAAATTTCTCTCTCACAATTTTATCATTTTATTCCTATAGTTTTAATTTTTTTTCAATAATTTTTTCCCATTAGCATTTTTTTTACAAAATATTTAACTCAAAATTTCATCTTTTTACTTCAAATTACAATTGTTTAGGCCAAATGGATCCTAATCATTTTCATTATCAACAAGCTTCTTTCAATTACATGCAAAATTCTCAAAATCCTAATCCTCAAAATTCTCAAATTCCACTGGTGCCAACAAACCCCATCATATTTCTTTCATCGCCAAACAATCCAAATATGTATCCTATACCTCAAATGAATTCTAATAGTATGGAATTCTCTACTCAAGTTCCACCATTTTCTACTCAAGTTCCACCATTTTCTACTCAAGTTGGTATTGAAAAAGAAGAAAGGGTTGTCGTTAAAAAAAGATCTCGAGAGCAATTTACAAGGGAAGAGGATATACTACTTATCCAATCATGGCTCAATGTTTCAAAGGATCCAATTGTGGGAGTTGATCAAAAGGCTGAGAGTTTTTGGTTAAGAATTGTTGCTAGTTATAACTAATATCGTGGGCAATTGCGGGAAAATTTAGGGGGACAGTTAAAATGTCGATGGCATAGAATAAATGGCATGGTTCAAAAATTTGTTAGGTGTTACAAAATAGCTCTTAAAGGAAAGAAAAGTGGGACATCCGAGACCGATGTCATGGCAGATGCACATGCTATTTTTGCTCAGGATCAAGGTACAACATTCAATCTTGAGTATGCATGGCGATTGTTAAAAGATGAAGTTAAATGGCGCATCGTCGAAGAATCGATTGGAAGTTCTGCAAAAATAACAAAGACTTATGCTAGTGGGGCATCATCGGAGAACCCAGATACAACTTCAAGTTATGAGTTTAACTCATCATCACCAATGGAGCGTCCAATGGGACAAAAAGCAGCAAAAAGGAAGGGTAAGGCATCAGAAATTCCAAATGCAACGCAAGATGCAAAGAATAAAAGAGCAATAACAATGGACAGACTTGGGCAATCTAAGGAGGACGAGTTAGAATTAAGGGTAGTGCAAATGATGATGAAAGACACTTCTACTATGAATGAAAGTCAACGAGATATTCATGAAAAATATTGTAATAAGATGAAAAAAAATATGGAATGTAGTTAGTATCACTTATGTAAAATGGTCATTAGTACCACTTTAATTTATCAACACCTATGTAAAATGGTCATTAGTACCACTTTAATTTATCAACACCTATGTAAAATGGTCATTAGCCGTTATTCAAATTACCATTTTAATTTAAACTAGCCGTTATTCAAACTAGCCATTATATATACTACCATTTATGTCATTGTTCTCTCATTCTCATCTTATTCTTCTCATTTTTCTCTCATTCTTTACTCACTAAATGGATTCAGACAATTCAGATACTCACGATCAAGAATTTTGGGAGTTGGTTGAAGAAGAATTTATAGACGACAGTGATGAAGAACAACAACTTCAAAATGAACGTCGATCTGGAAGTTACTCTAGGCCAAAGAGAAGAACAACGATAGATCGAGGTCGTGAAGAAGGGCACAATCGATTATTGAATGACTACTTCTCGGAAAACCCAGTATACATAGATGTTCAATTCCGAAGAAGGTTTAGAATGCATATGCATGTATTTATTCGAATTGTAGAAGCCCTTGAAAATCATGATGAATATTTCCAAATGAGGGTCGATGCAACAGGTAAAATGGGTCTTTCACCATTGCAGAAATGTACATCTGCTATTCGTATGTTGGCGTATGGGTCTCCTGCTGACCTTGTAGACGAATATGTTCGAATCGGTGAAAGCACTTCAATTGAGTGCTTAGAAAGATTTGTTAAGGGTGTCAATGTTGTACTTGGCGCTGACTATTTGAGAAAGCCTAATGTTGCACCCCAAAATTTGACCAACCGGTTCCCACATCTGGTTTATGTTTCGACGCATTTTGCATTCGCATTCGCATACCGCATCCATTGCATTTTTGCAGTCAGACTGATTTTATCGGGATTACAGCCTCCTCTAGCATTTCAGGCAGTTTCATACCATTTCGAATACGAGAGTGTATTTTGAGAATTTGTGCCCGTCTCGGTGTTTTCAGCTCTCGCTGTTATTTTTGAGGACATCTCGGTGTCCGGTTTTTACCGTTTATTTCGCTATAGTTGCGCAGTTGTTCTCTAATCGATTTAATTGTCTTCCTAGCATTTTCAGAATTTTCCCTTTTATTTTCTAGATTTTTAATAGATTTTAATAGATCTTTATAGATTTAATGGAGTTTTTCTAGATATTAAATAGGAATTTTTAACATTTTCTTATAGAATTTAATAGTTTTTTTAGAATTTTAAATAGATAATTCTTTTTTAAATAGTTTTAATAGATAGTTCTTTTTCTAGATATTAAGTAGATTTTAAATGTTTTTTAATAGGTTTAATAGATCTTTTTCTATTTTTAATAGGGTTAGGAATTAATAGAGTTGATTAGGGTTTATTTTCTTTTAGAATTAATAGAGATTAATTAGAGTTTAATCATTTTTTAATTAGGATTAATTAGGAGGTTGGTTAGTGTTTTTAATTACTTAGCATTTAATTTTCGTTTTAGAATTAACTGAGTATTATTGGAGTTTTAATGATCATTAGAGTCTTAATTGTGATTTTAATTGAGTCTTAGTAGTATTAATCAGGTCCATTAGAATTAATTGCAGCATTTTAATCCATTAATTAGTGTTAATTGCAATCAGAGTTTGTGGGCCAGGTGTTGGAGGCCCAAATCCAGCCAACTCGCTGTCACTTGGCATCAGTATAAGTAGTCCACGCGTTTTCATCTCTCTCCGCCACCTATTCACTCTCCACACTCCCAGAGCGTGACACACACATCATTTTCCACTCACATTTTTCTGGCCACCTCACATTTCCATTATCTCTCTCCCCAGCCACTTGGCACTCTACCTCTCACTCTCCAGGCCACGTGTCCTGTTTCCCTCTCACCCTCTGCATGCTCGCCAGCACACACTCCACTATCTCCTTCCTGCTGCCGGCCATGCAGCCACCACCGGACCACCGTAACTATCGCCGGAAACTGGAAATTCACTGGTAATCGTCGCCAGAAAACGAAAATCCTCCAGAAAACTGCAAATTCTCATAATCTTCATCATCCGTTCATCGTTCGTTCATCATCAGAACATCATCTAGATCTAGGTTTTTCCACATTTCCCTGAAAAACTTCACCAATAATCTTTAGGTGTTCATCGTCAAATTTCCAGATCTTCATCAAGATATTCATACGTTCATCGTCTTCACAGATCCTTCAGATTCTCTCAAAGAACTTCATCAATATCTTCAAATCTCGTCAAAGAAGTTCATCTTCGCAAATCATCAAAGAACACGTTCATCCAACGATCTTCATCCAAATCTTCATAAGATCCTAAAAGACTCATCAATAATCTCCGTAGATCGTCATCCAGGTCTCCAGTATCTCAAGAACATTCAACAAGAAACTCATCCACGAAGCTTCGTCAACTTTCGTAGATCTTCGTCATCAACACCAAACGATTCACCAGTTTTCTTCATAGCGTTTTCTTCCAGAAAATCTACAAACAATTGGTATCTCCTTGAGCTCCCCAGACCCTCTTCAAGATTAACGAAGGTACTCATCTCTGTTCTTCAAGAATCTCCAAGAACGGTATTCATCTTCAACTTCATCTCCAAAAATCTCCAACCATCTCCTTCATTACGCCTTCAAGAAGTTCTTCAAAAAGCTTCATCAGCGACTACCGGTCCTCAAGAATGTCAAAGGACG